GTTTTAAACTTAATTTTTAAAATTTTTTTAGACATAAAGCAAATCAGCCGCGGTTGCCTTTACGCCCTGAGTCAAGTGATAGAGTTCTTTTTCAATGTTGGAAAGCATTCCACTGGCACCGAGTCGGAACAGTTTGTTGTTGAGCCACTCTGGGCCCAGCTGAGTTCGCACCAGCGTCAGCCAGTAGAGGGCATCGGCGCCGTCCTTCAGTCCACCTGCCGGCTTCAGACCGACCTTTCGTCCTGTGCGCAGATAGAAGTCACGAATGGCCTGCGTCATGACCAGTCCGTAGACTAGTTTCGCATTCAGTGACTCTTTTCCGGTGCTCGTTTTCACAAAGTTTGCCCCTGCGTACATGGCCACCGTGGCCGCCCTGTAGATGTTCTCCAGCGTGCCCAGCTCTCCGGTGCTGAGGATCACCTTCAGTCGGGTGCCTTTTTGGCGCATCAGCTCGGCCACCGCTCTGATCTCCTCGTACAACTGCCTCCACTGGCCGTCAATGGCCAGCGGTCGATTGATGACAATGTCAATCTCATAGGCGCCGTTGTTGACGGCGTAGTGCACCTCGCTGAGAGCCGCCTCCACGGTGCCCTGACCGGCGGGGAAACCAGCCACGGTGGTGGCAATCGGCAGGTCAGAGTGCCACTGATTGAGGTAGTGCTTAAAGTCGGCCGCTCGAGTCGGGTAGCCACAGATGACGGCAGTGGTCACCGGCTGTTCAATGCCCAGCGGCTGCAACTTCTCCAGAGTGGCTGCACTTAGGGGGTTCAGGGCTCGCCAGACTAGACGACTCACATTGCAGGCAGTGTCATCGCCGCCAAGTGTTGTCAAGTCGATGCATCGCACGGCAAGGACAAGGTCGCGAATCTAAAAAGAAAGATTGTAAGTTTTTATTTTAGGCCATGACAAAGCACAACACTTACCCTCGATTGGTCATCAATGGCCAGTGCAATTGCTTTAATTTGATTTGCTTTGGACTTGATTGCAGCCTGATTCAGGTGCACCTCAAGCTGCGAGGGGTCTGCAAAGGGGGAAACGTAAGTTGACCTTAGTTTGTTCAGAACAATGGCAACTCTTTACTCACCAAAGTCAATTGCTTTAGCTGCCATTTGGTTTTGTGTAAACTAGAAGGAAACAACTAATAACATACAAATGAAGGGAATATAA